TACTTCAATGTTCAAAGAACATGCAATTGTGTACTTTAAACGATGTGATTGCAAACATGATAAGAATGTGATTATGATAAGCTTATCTTGCACTCAACCTTCAATCAGTTTTTTTTTACTTACAGTCACAGATTTAATCAATAATAATGCGTTTCAAAAAAGCCGGTAATTCTGCCAATTCGCGGTTAGATGGCAGCACGCGTACAATTTAGACCGAAATATGAACAATTGTATTTCTGAATGTTCGCTAGATGGCGCATGCGCCTCTAAAAGTGATTTAAATCGAACATGAACTCCACCTGATTGAGCAGCGATTTTATTCGGCCGATAGAATTGCTTAAAAAGAAATTTTTTAAATCAAATAGTTGTCATTCCTAATTGTATTTTTCTTTCCACGTTCTAAATAACAAAAATTAAATTATTTTACTTACTTTAATAAAATAATATGTTCTTTAATAAATTGATTATACCTATTTTAACTGACAGAATCGCTTAACAATTCCTTTATATAATCAAATAATTGTTGATTTTAATTTTATTGTTCCTTCCACGATAAATAACTTAACAAATTATTCTTTATTATTTGATATGGAAAAAACAATAAAGTTGAAAATGATCATTATTTGATTATATAAAAAAATATTTAAGCAATTTCTGCAAGTTGAAATAATTTATTTATTAAATTGATTAACTAATTTATTAATTGATAAATAAATGATTAAAATCTTCCATGTACGTTAATAAAATATGAGTGCTGTTTAATAAGTTAATTGGCGATTAAATCAACCAGTAGAATTACTTAAAATAAAATTTTTATTGAATTGAATATATTATACGTATGTTTCTAATTTTATTTTCAAACTATAAAAAATAAATAAATATGTTCACAGAAAAAAAATCAGTGTTTGATAAGTTGATTAGTGATTAATTTAACCAGCAAAATTTCCTAATTAAAGCAAAATTTTATATGACTATGTAATTGTTGTCTCTAATCTACAACAAAATTTTTCCACGTATCTAATAAAAAGAAAACAATTCTATTCATGATAGCAAAACAATAGATACAAGTGTCTGAATAAGTTATTTCCCAGATAGCAAGCTGACGTTATTTGTCATTTTAATGTCAAAATAACGTCTTTAATGTTTCACGTCAAATGATGATAAATAACATCAACTTGCTACCTGGATTGTTTAAATTAATTAGAATTTCATCCAAGTCTAAAATTATACACTATTTTTTGTATTTGTGTAAAAAAAAGCAATGTAGATTTTTTTTCCCCCCCCCCCCCCCCCCCCCACACACACATACACACATTTATAAATTGGAATATTTACCTCATGTGTAATATGAATAGAGAAATTATACGTCGGTATAATATAAGGAGTGCCATGTTGCTGCATTTTTCATATTAGACATGTAACTGATTGCTTTTTCTGTGTATGCGCTTCGTGATTATATGTAAATCCGTTTGGATTTACATAAAGGTCTCGAAGGGTGAAAGAATGTTTTCGAAGAACATTTTTATCCCTACGCGTTTTTTACATCATACATACGAAACTGCTTGTCGTTTTCATTATGTACAAAAAGAAAAAAACGATATCAAAATGAATAAAATCGAAAAACTTTATCTATTACAGATCTTGAATATAAAACAACGATTATTTGTAACTTGAAATAAAGTTTAAAAAGTTTTTTATTTGTATAAATATTTCTTATTTTTATGCGTTTAACAAATTTTTTTATGTAGATTTTATACAACCAAATTTCAAATATATAAAATATTTAAAAGTTTCATAAAGTTTGTAGATAGGTATTTGTCAAGTATTAATACTAAGCCTATAAAGAATAATAAATTTTCGTAATTTTTTTAATTACAATACATTTCTGTCTTATTTATCAGTAATAATATCTTATTATTAAAATTTATATACTAATAAATAACTAAAATTAAATAATAATAAATAATTTTAAAAAGCGTTTTTCCTTCTTCCTCCTACATTTTATATATGTAAAACTTATAAGCGATTAAAACAGTACACATTTTACTATTTGACAAAATTTCGAGGATGTTGAAATTTTGATTTAGCATTATGAAAGTTTTTCTGTATTTCTGTAGCCGCGAACGTTCACATTATCTTTAATAATATTTCCATATCCTTCGAGGATTTCAAAGAAGAGTATATTTTAGATATTTTTTTAAATGTCTTACATTTTGTCCTATAAAAAAGTTTAGTATATAGGAATAATTAAGAACGATGTCAATTTTATTTTGTTAAGTAGATATTTGTATAATTGTATATATATATATGAAATTTATAGTATTTGAAAAATATAAATCTCTCTCTTTCTCTATCTCTTTCTTTGTCTTTCTCTAGAAATGATAATAGATTAACACTCGTAATTTCTTATTATAGGTTCTTCAACGTAAGAATTATAGCTTTTTAATTAATTATGTCGCAATCAATAACACAATAACTGCTGTTAAAGAAATACCGTTTATTTTAACCATTTAAATAATCGATTTGTTAGTTTTAACATTAAACTTTGTACATTATTTTGTCAAAGCATTTTGCGATAAATATTTACACAGGAAAAGGAAATCTCATCGCAAAATAAGAAGCTTGTGGCATTTTTTGCACTTGTCAAAAGTAATTCTTCTCGTATTTTTAAAAAACGCAAAGAATACTTGGGGCATCTCTATTGCAGCACAATATTTAAATTGTTCTATAAGTGTCCAAATACGTGCTTTTCCTTTTTACATAAATAATTGCACATCTTTTGTTGCAAATTCTTTGCAAATTAAACTACTGATGATTTTTTTTATGACAATTGGATGCACTGTTACACCCTTATGAAAAAATACTATTGGACTCGCGGAAGAACGATAGAAATATTTAAAAAACTATTCGAATCGAATAAGTATTGTACACTATTCATTCCAATAGTTTTTTCACTAATCCAATGGTATTTCTTCACGAGGGTATGTTGATTGTAGGCTGTCATACACAAAGCAACACAAAACAAATTAAATCTATTCTACAATTGCGTAAACGTAGTTGTATATGATTGTAGTAGTAAGTACCAATTGATGACCAATCATTGTCGAATATTCTCTTCAAGGTTCGACTGTGATTAGCAAATTCTTACAACTATAATCACATCTATGCCACGGAATTGTAGAGTGGATTTTGTGCATGTATCGTATAATATAAGATGTTCAGCACGAATTATCACGTAGTTTAGCGGGATATCTGTCAAACGTTTCCTTGGTCAACAAGACGCTTATACTTAAAAACTTTTGCAATCGGCTAAGTTTGTGTACAACAGCCTTCGTCGTTTGCACTCCAGCATGCACTAGCAGCATCAGATTCGTTATCGGATGCACAAGAGACGGAGGCGAACGTTCGTCGCCGATATCACCCGCGTGAGAGATTCATCGAATCAACACCACTGAACGCAATGCCAATTCCCACGCTTTCTCCGGCATCTACAAGAGACCGAACGACGGAACCTCCGCGCGTTCCGTCCGAAAGGAAAAAAAAACGGTGCGGGAAAGAATCTTAGTGAAATGACGTGAAACTCGGGGCTTCCTCTCGCCGAGGAAGTTTCGGATTTGTACGCTTGGAAGCGATGCGTGACGGTGTACGGCCGACGAAGATCGAAAAGTACCGTCGGTCGCTGAGCCCCGACGAGGATTTCGGCGCGTGTGCCACGAACATTTTTCCGCCGTCGATTTTTCCCCGCCCTTTTGTCAGCGGGTGAGGCGGGG